ACCCTCAGTGAGTCTGGGACCTCCAACTCTGGTATTGCTCAGACAATAACATTTCCTCAGATGGGGAGGAATTCTTTAAACTAATACACCTTGAAACCTGGGATGGGGGTGAGAACATGCTTGGAATTTTATCATGTCCAGGTAGAAACCTAAATTGAAGTGGCTGTTCTGGAAGATCAAAGGAAAAAAAAATGCATCAAGAATAAATACATGACAAATCTGGCTCCTGCAAAAGAAGAAAGCTAATGGGCCTAATGAAGCAGGTGGTCAGGCCCTCTCTAGTAGCTTCCAACATGTGGGGTACACTTCTTGAGAGAAACAAGCCATAGGTGAGTCACCAAGCATGCTGAGTCTGTGCAGGTCACGATCTGAGCATCATGTGATGGAATGGAGGGCCCAGGTGGGAGGGTGTTGAAGGCAGATGCCGTAAGGAAAGGAATCTGCTGCTGCAGCTGTAGAGGACAGTGGCCACTTGTCTCCTGGAACCACCACTGTGCTTCAGTAGCTACCACAGAATGAGCATCAGCAGAGAGAGACATGAGGTAGTGAAGAGAGGCTTTGGGAGCAGACCTGTGTGCAAATCCTGACTCCAGGTTTTGCTAGCTGTATGACCTTAGCATTTTCGGAGCCCTGGGTTCTTCATCTCCTCGAAGGGGGAAAGAATTTCAATTTCAAAGTGTTGCTAGAGAGTAAACTGAAATGAGATATCATCTAGAGTTTCTCAACACAGGAGAGGCTCAATAAATGTGCCTATTAGCATCTTGCACATAGAGGGGTTGCTTGTGTTTCGGGGTCCTGGGGGACAGGGAGCCCCAAGTTTTACTCCTTCCCAGAGTTGCAACAAGCCTCTTATTTCCTGGGTCCTCCCGTTCCGCGTGAGTTGGTTCTACCTCAGCACATTTCTCTTTTCCTCCCTGCCTCTCAGCAAAACCACCCCATTCCTAGTTGTCTCCACTACTGTGTATGCAGAGTCTCACCTATGTGTGAATCCTGAACTTAACAGTCTGTAAATGGGATGTTTGTGACTCAGAACCATGGTCACGGCATTCTAAATCAGTGTCTCCCTGGGACAACCTGACTCAGTAGGTTGAGGGAGAGCTTCGGAATCTGCATTTAACGAGTAGCTCTAGATCCTTGCTATCAGTGCGTTTGGCAGCTTGGGCATTCGTCACCTGGGAGCTTGTCAGAAATACTGAATCTCAGGATTCACCTTTGACCTACTGAATCAGAAGCTGCATTTAAAAAAATACCCAGGTAGGGTTGACAGATAAAATACAGGGCACCCAATTAAATTTGAATTTCAGATAAGCAATGCATTTGTTTAGTATAAGCATATTCCATAGTACATCTGTATTTTTATTTGCTAAATCTGGCAACCGACTCTTTGGCATTTTTATGTACATTAAAGCCTGAGAAGCATTGGTCTAGATCAGTAAATCCCAAACTTTCCATGCTTCAGAAGCACCTGTGGAGGCCTTGTTAAAACCCAGATTGCTGGGCCCCACCCCCAGAAGTTTTGGTTCAGTAAGTCTGGGCAGGGGCTTGAGAACCTGCATTTCTAACAAGGTCCCAGTTGACGTTGGTACACACTTTGAGGATCACAGCTCTGCATGATGGCTGGATTCCCAAGTCAGCCCACCAAGGTCTTGGCAATTCCTACAACTTAGACAAGATAAGGGCTGAAGTTCCCTCCAACACTCATATCTATGCATGAAGAGAAAAAGAGTAACAGTCTGATCAGCCAACAGCTTAAGCTGCCTGACGACCCTTTATAACAAGGTCTGTAAGGACAAGTGTGGCTGACTACGTGGACTGCCAGGAGCTCATCTTCTCCTGACTTTGTGTATCCTCCCTGTTTCCAAGCTACTGGTGATAGTTCCAAGAGCATAAAGGGGAAGAATGGGAGGGCTGGGAATAGATGGAGTCAAAGCAGGGATAAACCTCTTAAGAGGCTGGGTGACAGTGGGGACAGGTTGTAAAGTAAGATCTGGGGTGAGGAGTCCAAATGGGCAGGCTGGGAAATGAGGTTGCCCATAGCGGTGAGTGAGGAGGAGGAGGAGAGGTGGGGCAGGGCAGTCTCCTCAGTAGACCTGGATGACCCCAGCTGAAGTGGCCAGTGGAAGTGACAGGAAGGACACGAGCACTTGGAGTCTGAGACCTAGATTAGAATCCCTGCTCTGCCAAGGATTAGCCTTCTAACTGTGCTCAAAGTTATCAACTCTTATTTCCTCACATGAGCAATGAGGAAATGACAAGGAAATGACAACCTCTTCAATAGGATGGTTGTGAGGAAGAACAGAGGCAGCACATGTAGGTAAAATGCCTGATCTCGTGAGAAGGCTCTCAGTAAATGGTAGCAGTTGCTATTATGGTTGCAAGAGGGTTTAATGCTACATTAGAGGAACATTCCTTCTTAGAGAATTTCTTTATCTGTATTTAATTTCATGAGATAACAGGTTTAGGGGAAATGTCATCCATACTCTGGGATGATAGCAAGGCCTCTTAAAAAAAAGAAAAAAACAACATTGGTAGCAAGATGTACATTCCCACCCGAATGTGATCCCCGTCCTTCCCTTGTCCATCCATCCCTACTCCCATTCCTGCTGGCTCAGGTGGAGTGAATAAACGGGCCCACAGAAAAGTTGGAACCTAGAATTATAAGGGACAAGCCCCTCGCCCTCAGCTGGTACCCTGAGATGGTCAGTTGTTAGGTGGATATCAGGCCTATACCATGAGAGGCACCAGGTGACATACTGAAGAAGGGCTGATTTCACAAGATACTTTCCATCACTGTGAATACAACCCAAGTGTTCTTCAATGTGTTTCTGTGCCTTGTTTTATAATTTTGTTTTATTTAAAATATATATATATACAAACTGTATGTGTACTTCAAAACATCAAGTTGTACATCATAAATACATATTTTATATGTCAATTTAAAATAAATAAATAGATTTGAAAAAATTAAGATACAATACAATTGACAGTCCTACAAATTTTAACACGTGGGTAGATTCATGCAACCATTATTACAATCAGGATGCAGAACAGTTCCAACGCCTCAAAAATTTCCTGGCGCAATCCATTTGTTGGCCACATCGTCCCCTAGTTCTCCACCCTCAGCAACCAGTGATCTGTTCTTCATCACCATACTTTTATCTTTTCAAGAATGTCACATAAGTGAAAGAAATTTTGCTGGGTGAAAAAGTCAGTCTTGCCTTGTTTTATATTATTAAATAAAGACAGCAAGCCTTTTTAAACATTTGACACAGAAACTGAATATGAGGCAGTGAAAAGACACATTTGTAAACTAGACTTTTGTTTTTCCGTGCCCCCGTACAGACTTACCCTCAACTCTTTACAAAACTGCCTCTCCCAGGAAGTCTTCTCGAATTGGTTCTTCCAAACAACTTTACTCTCTCGTTCTGGGCCTTGTCCTTTCACACTCTACTTCTCTCCTTGTCACTTTCTCAGGTAGTCAGTTCTGAGCATGAATTAAGCAGCATGACACAGGAAAAAGTGCATGTTCTCTGCAGACACACAGATCTCAATATGCACCTGGGTCTGTAAGGACAGTGGGTCGGGTACTTAGTCTCCTGGATCCTCAAGGTAGAATCACTTTACCTTGAAGAGTTGCAGTAAATAGTAAAGATGGAATGAGAAGATGAACACAAAGCCCTGGCAGAGCATAGGCAGCCAACACACAGGCAGTCATTACTTTGAGCCACCAGTATTAATAGTGCTGCTTGTCCATCACAGTGTCCACAGACCATTCCACCAGAGGCTTCGCATGTGTACAGGCACAAAAACAAAAGCATTCAGTATCAAAAGAAGGCCCAAAATAATGGACTAAATGTTTCCTTTTCTTATTCATTGTTCTGGCAGCATAGGGAAGTGCAGCCTACATAAAGGTAGGCCCCAAATAACTTTTCTCTGCCACCGTACCCTGTGTGACGTTAACCATGGCACTTTGCTGTTCCTGGCCCTTGATTTTCTTTTTTTTTTTTAATCTCAAATGGCAGAGTGACCTCAAAGCTCTCAAGTGTTTCTCTAAGCTCTAAAATTCTAAAACCCCAGGTAGGCCAGACATGGTGGTGCATGCCTGTAATCTCAGAATATTGGGAGGCTGAGGCAGGAGGATTGCTTAAGCCCAGGAGTTCAAGACCAGTCTGGGCAACACAGTGAGACCTCATTGCTACAAAAATACAAAAAATGTGATGGCATATGCTTGTAATCTCAACTACTGGAGAGGCTGAGGTGGGAGGATAGCTTTAGCCCGGGAGGTCGAGGTTGCAGTGAGCTATGATTGCACCACTGTACTCTAGCCTGGGTGACAGAGCAAGGCCTTGTCTCAAAAAATATATAAAATAAAATGAAATAAGGCTCTGGGAGGCTGGACGCGGTGGCTCATGCCTATAATTCCAGCACTTTGGGAGACCGAGGTGGACAGATAGCCTGAGGTCAGGAGTTTGAGACCAGCCTGGCCAAAATGGTGAAACCCCATCTCTACTAAAAAAATTGCAAAAAATTAGCTGGGCATGGTGGCAGGCGCCTGTAATCTCAGCTACTCGAGAGGCTGAGACAGGAGAATCGCTTGAACCCAGGAGGCAGAGATTGCAGTAAGCTGAGATTATGCCACTGCACTCCAGCCTGGGTAACAAGAGCGAAACTCCATCTCAAAAAAAAAAAAAAAAAAAAAGACTCTGGGTATGCACAGACCACAGCTTTAAAGTTTAGTAATTTCCGATAAGCTCTTTCCCCATTCTATCTGGGTTAAAACTCTGTTTTCTGACCCTGAAGGTGTGGACCAAACCCTCTCCCTTAGTTTGTTACTCCGCATGTCATTGGGTCTATATAAAAACTGAAGAGATTATTAAGTAATCTAGATTGTATAAACAATGACTAAACAACTAATTTTTAAAACTATACAGGGGTTTCCAGCTTAAATATCATAGGAAAGGAAAAAGAGAGAAATCCGAATTAATAAAGTAGTCCACTAGTTTCTACCATGTAGATACAATTTAATAATAATACATGACACTTGTTACATTTTATAGGCATTTACTATGTGCCAGGAAGGCTGGGCATCCTGCATGTTATCTCATTTAATCTTCCTAACATATCTGTGGCAAGGTGTTGCGATTGCCATTTTAATCCTCCTTTTAACTGAGGAGTAAACAAACCCCGAGAGAGGTAGGGTACATAGCCTATGGTTATGCAGGCAGTAAGTGGCAGAAAACTAGATGCAGCCAAATAAAGTGCAGGTAATTTCAGATCAGGAATTATATTCATTAGCATCACTAAAGGGAAGACAGTAGTCTCCAGGGATTGACTTTGTCCCCCTGAATTCTTAGTGTCAAAAAGGGCCTGAATGCAACTAGTACATCCTGACTATGGACCGAAGGAAAAGGGTGTAGAGGGAAAAGGAAGGGTAAGGGGCTGAGGTAAAGAGAGAGAGCGGGGACACTACAGTAGGTGAAGGGGGAGAATAAAGAGATGACGGATGGGAGGAGTCAGGCTCCCAGAGCAGGCAACTAACAGAGGCTGAAAATTTCCAAGTAGTCCTGGCTCTGGGAGAGAAGATTCAGGGAGCACAGAAAGAAGGAACAGGAGGCCTTCGAGGCTGTAATTATCTAACAGGACTGTGATGAAAACAGGAGTCAGGGAGCTGCTGAATTGGGGAACAGGGGGAGATGGATAATGTTTTCTCTAGCCTCATTGCCGAGAAACTCATTAAAATCCCCTTTCCATTTCCAACTCCTCAGTATCCAAAAGGCCAGTGTTTCTGAAACTGGAGAGATTTTCTTCTTTTCAGTATAACTGGGGGAAACAAATAATATACGTCAATTTAAAATTTTCTAAACCATTTCCCCTTCATCCCACCACATTGTGCTATGAAGAAAAGAAATAACCTTTTTAAATGATGGGAAAAGTGTAGCCACAGGGAGAGGGGGAAAAGGCTGGGGGTTCTCTTTGTATCATTTTTCAAAAGAAAAAGTATGATGTCGTTTTCAAGAGATGAACAGAATAGACCCTAAGCTGGTATTCTCATTCGCCATAAAAATATATGGAGAAAAGGAATCCTGAATTCAAAAGAAGATTTTTTAAAGGAGTGAAAAAAAATAAAGAAAATGCTCAAAATTTTATCTAACATAATGGTACTTAAGTACTTCACAACCTTTTTGTCCTTTAATCCTCAAAATAATCCTGTGAGGGCTTCAGGGCTATAATTACCTACGAAGACTACTTCAATATCGATTTTGCAGATGAGGTAAGTGAGACACAGAGAGGTTAAGCAACTTGCTAATGTTGGCATAGCTAGCAAGGAGTAGTTCTAGGATTTAGGCCCAGAGGGTCTGACTTTTAATACCCAAGTGATTAGCCAGAATGCTAATCTGCATCCTCAAAAGAATGAAAAAGACAAAACAAATCCAAAGCAGAAGAATCCCAATGAATTACTTATCGTGCCAAGGTAAGACTGATGAAGGACATCAGGACCCTGTAGAAATGTATGTTGACTTCAGGAAAGACCGATAGAGATGCAAGAGATACAGGTCTAGAAGTGTGATAGGGTGATAGCAAGAATCCCAAATTGGGAAGGGAAAAAGATCTGAGTTTCAGGTCCTCTTCATATTGGCTTTGTGACTGTAGGCAAGCCACTTAACTTCCCAAAGCTCCAGTCTCCTCTGTAAAATAATACCTGAGACCAGGTAGTTGTGAGGACTGCTGTGAGACTGAGTTGACTGAATGGAAAAGCAGTGTTAGCTGGGTGGTGTTACACATAGTCATTAAAGCTGTGGAATACCCCAGGAGGTTTAGAGCACCTTGTAATAAACAAATAAACAAAATTAGCACAAGTCTGCAACAAAATGCGTGATTTGTTGGGTGCTTTTTCCTTTGCTTTTGTGTGGGTTAAACTCCTCCACTGGCTGGCTTTCTTTCTTTCTTTCTTTCCTTCTTTCTTTTTTTTTCTTTTACTGAAGGCTCCTTTGGAATCTGTGCTGCGAGTGACAAATCGGAGACAATGTGATATTGGAAACAATCATAGACTTTGACAGGCCACAGATCAAGAATTCAGTTCTCTGAGGCCATGACATGCTCCAAGTTAAAACAAACATCCGGGGAAGGCAGGCAGTTTGGGCAGTATGCAGCACCTGGACCCCGCCTGACTGAGGAGACTACATTCCTTGACACTAGTGACTTACCCACAGTTGGACTGCTTATGGTTAGTGGCCTTTCCCTTCCCTTCCTGCTTTCTCCTGCCCAGATGACCTTCTTAAAGGAAAGGCAGTCCCTGGCTCTCAAAACCCATTCAGGTCCTTCTTCCCTTAGCGCTCCTCCCATGGAAATGTGTTAGGTTTTATGCAATATAATTAATAGACTGAAGACAGTCTGAGTAACCAAGATAAGGTTTAGCACCACCGAGAAAGTGTTTAAACTTTATGAGAGAACCTGGTAAATCTTCATGCCCTCTACCCCCAAGAGATAGTGCTAATTGCCTGACAGTTATTTTTTTTTTTAGCCTTTGAGAAAGATGATAGAAGGAAAGAGTACTGGGCCAATACCTAAAAGACTTAGGTGCTAGGCTAGGCTTTCCAGTTGTCAGGCTGTGTGACCTTGGAAAAATGGCATTACTCCTCTGATCTTCTCTCGTTTTCCTCAAGTGGTAAACTGAGCACTTTAAATTGGTGTTTTCCAAAGTAATTTGAGAAATTATCTCTGTTACAGAGGAATAAATTTAATTTTGATTATTATTACAAAAAATCTATTACAACAAACTTATGATTTATATACATTATTGCCTGGGATGAGCCTAAAGTGAAAAAGTGAGTCAATTTAAAGAAAAATCTAAAAGTAAATAATATTATAGATGGATGTGACTAAAATTGTGACGGTGAAATTTGAAAGAACATCATAAGGGACCTTTAGTCCCTTACCAAAGGGCAGAGTCCAGGACGAGCATTCAGACATCTCTTCTGTTTTTCTACTTGGCAACCCCCCTAGTTTGTCCTCCCATCCTTCATCAGGCCTTTCTGTCAGTGTTTGTGAGAAACCTGCCCAACACACCTATCCAATGCTCTATAGTCCTTGGGTATAAAATTATAATTGGCACAAGTGATCATGTCATCCATTGCGGTTCACAAGTAAAAGTTTTAGTAAGACCAATAACATTTCAAATCGTCTTTTAATTTTTATAAAATTATCAAATCTTGCTCACAGGTCTCTGGCCCTTAGTTCTCCAAGGACTCACTCTTCTGGCTCCACAATTCATTTATTCATGTGACTTGTTAGGGATCATCTGTATTCCAGCTGAGGGTGGAATTCTAAATCTAGAAGAACGAGTAAACGAGCATGTTTCAGAGAAGCTCTATAAAAGTTGAGTCCAAAACAACTGAGAGGCTTTGGAAAGTCCCAATATTGCCTTAAACATAAATACTGTGATCAGTAACTTTTTATTTATGGCAAGCTTTGAACCCTCCAGAAAGATGCATCGAATGCAAACTATTATTAGCAGGGAAATGCAAAAGCCACTTGGTATTACATGATTTATACCCAACAGCTCAATGCAGGCTGAGCAAGCAAGAAACATTGTTCCTATCTCAAGGCAAAGACAGAGAGATTGGGCAGATTTGAAGAATCTAGTTTAGAAATTCAAGGGGATGATCAGGGTAATAGATTTACTAAACCCGATTAAGGGCAGGAGAACAAGACATAGGACTTTCAGGAATATTTTTTCTTTCCTTCCCAACATATTTACCTTCAGCTGCTAAGCTGTGTGGTAAAGAAGGCTGCTCTGGAATGAGCATCATGAAATGGGTCTGGAAGGGGCTGGGGGCTCATCTGGTAGGTTTTGCAGGAAATCCGTGTCTGTAAATGTGCCTCTCATATGTGATAATTTGGGATCATCCTCGGGGTGTCCTGGTCCCTGGCTGTGTCTGCAAGACTTAGAAGCAGTCAGTGAGACTTGGGATGATAAAGCTGAAGCAGTGTGGGCTCAACTAGTAAGAGTTCAGTGACAGGAGATGTTGATCAGTTTGGATTCTGAATACTCTACGTCAAACTGAGACAGGGAGGGTGTTTCAGCTCCTCCCCCTTACCCTCCTTCCTTGGACTCTTCCTCAGCTGTGAATGCCATGGGTTCTTTGTTCCTTCCTTTAACCACCTCCAGTAAGCCTTTGATTTTAAAGACAGTAGTGGGAAGACAGAGAGCTTGGATATAGCAGCTCCGTGTGAGGTCTGTGAGCTCTTGGGTGAGTCACTTAATGTCTCTAAGCCTCACTTTCCTCATATCTGAAATTGGCAAAATAGTAGTACCTACCTAATAATGCTTTGGGGAGAATTTAACAAGATAAAATACCTAAGGCACAAATTTTTTGCACAGAATGCTCAGTTAATAACCATCTGATAAACCATGTGGCTCCCTCTTATTGCAAACAGAGTACATCTTTTCAGAGAATATGGAGACAAATCTTCAGAGTCCTGGAAAGAGATACAATGAATTAAAACATATTCCTGAAACACATTTTAATGAAAGAAAAAGCAATCTCATTTAATTCATTAGCTGAGATGATACCTAAACACTGTTAATAATGCTGGATTTTCTTTTAGTCACTGATTGCAGAGAAATCAAAATCTTACTCATTCACATCCAGTGGACTATTTTACACCATTCCAGGCACAGTCGATGCCACTGAAAGTAAAATACAAGTTTCCTGACTTCTTTTTTTGCATCCAAGCCAGGACTTCATGAAACAAATGGTCTGAGGCCTGGTGCTCAGCCTTGGGCTTTTGTGCTAGGCAATATCTCTATCAGGTTCCAGCAGACTTCCAGGGCTGGCCTGATGGCACTCCAGGTTTTTTGTCTTTAAGTATCATATATTTCTCCTAGGAAGACAGTCAGAGCTTTTGATGCTGCCCTTTCTTATCAAGGGAAAGAATATATGAATGAAGCTGACACCATCAGTAGGGGACTAAAGGTCAATTATTAAAATTTTCATGATTAATTGACAGTGGCATGCCGATCCCTTCATCATCCCTTTCCTACCCTGCTTCATTGACAAAGGTGTGGAATCTTAGCATAGAGGGTCTGAATTCTTCTGGGGTGTAGGAAATTATTTGCTGTTCAGGAGAGTAAGGAATTTGAACCACAAGAGGTTGGGAAATGCATTAACTAATTAAGGTCTTTTCAACTGGTTTCCCCCTTACTAACTAAAGGAATACATTTTGACTTCTAGTTGAAACTCAGAGGATGACCAAAAGACAGAAATTAACGAATATCCTTTTTGGCCTCAATCCAAAGAACTATTTTTCTTTCTGAATTTATCCTACTCTTGAGCCCTCCCCAATGAAGAAGAATGAAATCATAATGGCAATTTTCTTTCTGGCAACAGTTCATCACAAATGAAATTTACCTGTTTTCTTCCACGTTGTCTCAAAAAAGAATGAGGGCTCTTTCTCTCAAGGGTTTGATGATTTCAGATGTCCATCTAGAGCATAAGGAAGATAACCTAATTTCTGTTTCCATAAAAAATACCGGAAGAAAAGAAGACAATGTTCCTGTGGAATGTCCTCTAAGAGCTGACATGGGTGGGAGGTCAAGAGGATGTCCCCCAAAAGGCAGAAGCTCTTGATTTGCCAAGAAAGCTTGAGAAGAGGTCATCTGCAGAAGGATGAGGCTGTTGCAGAGAGACACTAATCATGAGACAAGGATTCATATTTTCTATGAAATATCTCCTTCTAAAATAAAAAATCCAAACCCACCTTCATTATCACTTATTTCACCTGTTTATTATAAAATGTTTTCAGGCAATGTTGCAGCATCTTCAATTATCTGCAAAGGAGCTAAGTTTGTTTGATTTAGACAGCAAATTGACCTCCCATCTGATTTCAATCCTTCCTACCAAATAGGTTGGCCATGAATGCTGCTGTAGTTGTGTGATACACTTTGAATTTCACCAAGCATGTGGTAAAAAGACTGGTCTGAGCCCCAGGTGTCAGATGAACCTGCCACAGCAGCAGAGAGGGAGTCATCTGTATTTATACCAAGTTTGTGTTCACATTAGCTCAGAGTATAACCGATTTATACAAATACGTAAATGTCTCATTGTAAACTCAAAGTATATTCAGACAGAGAAAAGTTCAGCTCACCTTTTCTACAGATGACATGTCTTCAGGCCTTCAGTTCTTTTCTTCTCAATTTAGTTCTCAATGATAACTCAAAGCAAATGAAGCCTTCTAACTAGGTATAATTATGACAAACACTGAAGAGCCCAGGAAGTAAAAGACAATGGTAAGAAACAATTCTAAAATGCCTTAAAGCTGCCCTCTCATCCAGCTGATTTATGTCATAAGCACTTGCTACAAATAAGTCTATAGAGTTTGAGTCAAAACATACATGAGACATTTTAACTTCTGCCCAAACTGTTCATCCTTCTGCCTCATGCTCAGTTTGGTCGATTAAAAATTAGGTGAGTAAGAAAATGGATTACCACAGTGAGAGAAAGTGAGGCCAGCAAGAAACAGGCATGACAAAGAATTATGCTGATAATTTATGAAGACCTAGAAAGAAAATTTCTGATTCATCAATAGTATTTACAGGTTAAAAAAAGAAGAAAAGAAAAGAAAACTAAACAAGAGGAGGAAAAAGGGATAAGACAGAAAAAAAAAAAAGGTTGAAGGAAATGGTCTTCAGTCTGGAGAAGATTCATCCTGTGAGAATGCATTGCTGTCTTAAACAATGTACTGTTTTTCTTACTTATGAAAACCAGCATCAGATACTGGTTGTTGGTCTTGTCCTTGCTTAGGTCTATAGGTCTCCAGTCATTCATTTGCGTGTCATTGAAAGAGGGGATGACACTATATTACCCCTTTATTTTGGAGAATATGGAGGAAATATCTGTCATACTGGTCATCAATTTTTATTTCAGGAAAAGTAAAACCTATTCTTATGTAATCTTCTCTAGCACTTGGAAGCTCCTCAAATGACTGCCCCCCTCATTTCTTTCTTAATATATGCAAATTTTACTATACATTTATTTGGACCTGGAAACTTCAAACATAAAAGATTTGATGTTGCTCATATCTTGAGCAAGCAGGAAATCCTTAGGGAAATGTGAACTAGTTCCTACTTATGATAACAGCTGTTTTAATAAAACAATGAATTATTGACCCAACATCTGACTCATCTTTTGCTGCATTTTTTATGTTACAGGAAGGTTTGTAACTAATAAATTTCTTTGTATTGCATGCATATCTTATGAAAAAATAATTGCATATCCTTTGCATATATTCTTAACCACTGGCATGTTGTATGTACTCGAACTGCAGCAGTAACGAGATGTGAATATGGGTAAAATTTTGTTCTACAATCATAAAACATAATGCTGAATTATTAGGGGGTAACTATTTAACAACAATGACAAAACCTTCTCTCTTTACTTATCTTTACCTACTTCATCTTAATCTCACATTATTTTTTAAAAGAAAACTTCATTGCATATTCTAGCAAAGTCTATTGGTAGGCAAAGGTTTAACAGAGCCAGAGAGAATGTGCAAGGAGTGAGAAAGTGAATTGATGGATGGATGGTTAAATGAATATAAATGAACTGACACCTTTACAGGAAAATAACATTTCTTTTCTTTTTTTATTCTATAGATCAGTGGGTTTTGTATCTGTAATTCTTTCATATCAGCAAAGAGGAAATAAACTCTCATGTAAATCATTTTCCCCCCATCTGTAGCATATTAAAACCATGCCTTTTTTTTCTTTTAAGCAGACTCTTTTTTCCCTATTTGCTTATCAGTTCATCCACCATTACATTTTAAATGAAACTGCAAGACCCTTGTCCCTCCCCCAAATTTCAGCCTGATGTAGGAAAGTGGAAAGCAGACTTTTCTTGCTTTAGAATAGTGACCTAGATTCAATTACAGATAGACCCAGAAGAGAGAAGTGACACCTCGCAATTTTCTTAGAGGTCTTGAAAAAATTAGAAATCTCAAAACAATACTTAATGGGAAAGAATCTGTTTATTTCTCCCCATTTTCCATCTTTTTTCTTCTCTGCCTTAATTGCATTGCTTTGGTCCATTTAATTGTTCCTGGTATAACATCACAATAGGTTTCCCGCAGGATATTTCTGAATCATAAAAACGGGCATTTCAAGGAAATTTCTGAGTTTGGCTTTTGAGGGTGGGTGTCTATACACAGAGTATGTGTAATTCTGCAAACTGAACCCAGATAAGATGGGGGAAAAATCTCTTAAAAGGCACATTTCCCCTTGCAGCCTTTAAAAAAGCAAACAAATTACATTAATAAAGTACACTTATTATAATTGCACTGCAGACAAAGCACTGAACGGGGAAAGGGGGTGTATATATTTTACTGTTTTCCCAATTACTGTAGAAAAATGTGGTCAAAAGAAATAGAAAGAGGGAAGAACCCTGTGATTCTGCTTATTGACTTTTATCACTAAATTAAGCATATAAATGACCTGAGCGGGTGGCTTGGTATATTAAATTAAAAAAAGAAGAACAATGATTCTCTCTTCTTTTTCCCTCCCTCTCTGATCTCAGCCTGAAAGGAGTCTCCGAGAGATAAGAAAGATGGGATTCGGTCCGCACTACTCGGGTGGGTCCTGCTTACCGCGAGCGGGGAGGCGGTTGCCTTCCGTGCAGGATTTCCGTTGAGGCCTCACAATAAGCGGTCTCAAGCGGGGGACCCCCGCCACTTCCACGGTCCCTCAAACAAAGAAAGAAGCCAAAGTCGGCAGTCCCAAGACCAATGTAAGCGCTTAGGAAGCTTTGAGACGCTTTAGGGAGAGGAAGGCTGCTGTGGGCAGGTGTGAACACCTCAGCCCTCGCGGCAGGTTTGGAGCCGCCCAGCGTAGGAAGAGGGCAGAAGTGGGCTCGCGTCTATGCGGGTATTCGAAGTGAAAAAGAGCTGCAAACGGCACAGAAGTCCGGGGGCTAGGCGCAGGAAAACAGAGCAAAGAAACTGCCTTAGCTCTCAAACACTGCCTATGGAGGGGTGTTTCCCGGAAGATTATTCTAGATCCTATGAAAGAGGTCTCCACTGGGCGCTGGCCACGGCATTGGGGATGTGGGTGCGCGCCTGTTCTGAAAGAAGGGTCCCCCAGGCCGCGCAGGGGAACGCAGGAGACGCCTGTCCCCGGGGGAACCAGCGGAGGATTGTTTCATTTCAAAGTGAAAATCTGCAGGCTTTGGGAAACGATATTCAAAAAAGTATATAATCTCCATATGCCGCTCAATGGAGGATCCTCATAATTTACAGCGGCAGATAAGGCTAGAGGGTGTAATAAAAAATCTGAAGCCCTCCCCTCCCCCCTCGCCGCCTCCCGGGAATTGCACCTTGGGCAGCGGAGCAGAATCCGGAATGTGAACTTCTCCCGACATATGTTTCCCGCAGATAAGTAAACAATCTGGACGTGAAATGGAAATGGTAATTAATGCAGTAATGCTGTTACACCTCGAGTGTGCAAATCCCATTGACTCGCCGCACCACGGGGGGTGCCGGGCGTACGGGGACCGGTGGCGTGCGCCCAGGCTGCCCACTCCCTCCCTCCTCTCTCCCTCCTCCCTAGGTCCCCGGGCGGGGCGTCCAGAAATCCCGCAGAGACGTGCCCGGGCTGCAGGAAGCAAGGAGCTGCTTAAGCAGAGTTCGGGACTCCCGGCTCTCGGCCCTTGGAGGACTGGGCGGGTGCTCTGCCTTTGCCTCGACAGCCGCGCCTCTCACCCACCTCCCTCAGTTATCACCGCCGCGCTAGCGCTAGCAGGGCCTCCTCCGGGCTCAGAGGTGCAGCCCTGCCCTGAAGCACCCAGGAGAGCCTGAGTTCTCCTACTGCGAGCAGCCGGCGACAGAGGCCTGGAGGCGGAGGGAACCCCCAAACTTAGTGCGGCTGGTCGCCCTGAGTGCGGCTGTCGGGTCTTTCCTCTCCCCTCTGTTCCGGGGCCAAGTGCGGCCGGTTGTCTGGCAGAGTTTTTCTGAAGTTTCTTTCCATCCTCGCACCGAAAGCACTGATCGTATATGAACTGCTTCTCTTACGGACCTGAGCGGAAAAGTTTGGAAAAGGCCACTGCCCGCCAGAGTAAAGCAACTTCTCCACTTTGTAGCAAAGAGGAAACTTGAGGCCTCCTTTCAGCCTTTGTCCGGCCTGGGCACCGGCTCCCTTACTCAACCCAGACCCAATGCTTGGGCTTTTGGGGGGAATTGGGGAGGTTGCCTAGCGCAGGGATTCGAGCGAAAGGATGCAGAATCAGGGGAGGCAGCCAAGGGATGTCCCCGACCCGCGGCCCTTCCCGCTTCCGAAGAGAACAGCTTTCTCACCCGACCCCAGAGGCTGGACAGGAGCCTGAGGATGACGGCTCTGCGGGACCCAGGGCCAGGGGCTGGGCTAGGAAGGGAGTAGCGAGGCCCCCTCTTCCCTGACTTCAGGCTCCTTCTTAGTGTGAGAGCCGGCAACGCCCAAGCCCCGGGACCTGGGCGCACACACAGAGCCGGGATTCCGCGGCGCTCACTGAGAGTCTCTGGTTTAAAGTAGAAGCCCCAGGATTTCTAGCGCCCCCATCCTCCATCAACTTCTTTATTTTCTTAATTACTCTGCGGTGGCCCAGCGCCTGCGCTTCTGGTTCCAGGCCAATGCCCATCCCTGCAGCGTCAGGAAAGAAATCAGCCCAAGTAGCTCTCCCACTGCTAGGTCCACTAGAGCCTAGGAGGCAGGGCAGGACAGGACAGAGGCCAGGAGAACATGCCCCTCGATGGAGGCAGGAAACATGGGTCCCGGCTGTCCTGCACTCAAATCTAACGGGCCCCTTCTGTCCCTGTGCCTCTTCCTCTAGCACTCACACACAATCCACTCAGCAAATAAAGAGATGAGATTTCTTTACACAAATCTTGTGACTTAGGTGATATTCAAATTCAAATGGTTTGAAATTCATTGTCCACTTGAACAATGGTAACAAGGCCTGAGCTGGGAGGAGATGAAGGAAACGAGTGCTGGCACCACAGCTCGCCAAGTTTCCCGGGCCCTGGCAGTCTCGGATCTCTCCAGAGAAGCTGACCTGGCGGGACACACTTCACTAAATGGTGAGCTGTGATCAAAGTCCCTTGGCCCTAGTCTGACGGAAACATCATCCCGCTTTGGTTCACTGGAGATTCCTACAGGTTAGCTCGCTCCAGTTCCAAAATGCAAACGTTAAGGGGGTCTCAGATGTCAGTTGCTCACACCTCAGTGTAATTTACTCAAAGTAGCTGGTCTTTTCCGTCTTTAAAGTCAGCGGGCCTACGGAAATTAATATTTAAATAGTAAAACTCCGAAACTGGAAGGGAATCAAAGATTTTGGGAGTCGGATCCAAAACCGAGAGGTGCATAAAAGGCTGACGGAGTTCTCGGAATGAGGGAGGCCAGAGGCTGAAAGGGACCAAGAATGCCGCATCTCTCAGAAGATGTGGCCAGTGTACCCCTGAGCCAGATGGCAGCCAAGGTTTAAGAAAGCAAACCTAGGTAAAACCCAAACAACTGTGCTCCTGCCGCGCCGGCGCCGATGGCTGCCACCCCAGCAGCATGCTGTTCAGGTCTCTGCTGTCCTAGGGAACACCCAGCAGAGGAGCGACGACGCTGAACGCGGCATGTATTTGGGTCACTTTTGGCGGGGAGAGGGGTCCCGGGGAAGCAATGAGAGTAGCAGGTGAGAGGTCCAGGCCCTCCCTGCCAATCCCGCTCGAGGGAGGCCCAGGCTGCTAAGCGAGAGAAGTCTGGGGCTCCCTGGCTGCCGGACTCGTGCCTAACGCAGAGAGATATGCAGAACCTCCTCCTGCAGGACCACCGGCGCCCCGCGCAGCGCCGGAGTTCGGGTTCTCCGGTTGTCAGGAGTCTGTCCAGGGCAACTCTTGGCTGCTCTTTGCTGCGCTTCGCGCGCTCGGGAGAAGCGGCTCTTCTCCACTCCGGGCGGGCGGGGCGCTCCTCTCCCTACAGGTTTGCTTTAATGATTTTCTTGAAAGAAAGAGACAGTTGTGAGCAAACAGGTTTGACAGGGACTGCTGCCCCCCACACCCCCCAGGGGATTTCTTTTTGTCTGCGCCTGACTTCAAAGTCAGTAATCGGCCCCTGTCAGCGGCGTGACGAGAAGGATTTTGGCTGTTTGTTAGGGCGAGTCGCGGCCGCGCACCTCGGCGGACGCTCAGCGGCCCTCGGGGCGACGGAGGCAAAGCTGAGGCAAGCCCTTGCGGGGATGGGGGTGGGGGGCGAGGTTGGGACTAGGTCTAAGGAGGGCAGATGGCTGGGGAAGGCCAGTCTGCGAAGGAAGGAAACGAAGTGTGGTGGCCAAAAACCGCCCGAGTCAAGTCTTTGACTTCAGGTCCCAGGACCCGAACTGGGCCCCCCGGCTCTTTGCAGGCTGGAAAGAGGTCTCAGTCAGCTCTGAGTGAGGCCGCAGCCCCCTGAGCGCCTCTCTGCTACAGCGCACCCTAGTTTCCTAGTTCCCCATCTGAGCCCAAGACCCGGCCAACCCGGGACCCTCGTTTCAGTTTTCCAGCTTCACCCACCGCCCGAGGCCTTTGCCCCTCGCACTTTGCCCCTCGCACTCTCCACGTGCCCCTTTCCAGCCTAACCCTTCAGGTTTGCTTCAGGTGGGGTCGTGGGCGCCAGGTTCTTTCTCCAGCTGGGGTGTTCTGTTCGCCCAGGGCGCTCCCGCGCTGGGATCTGCGAGGAGATACCCAGACCCCTGTAAGCTTCATCTTAGGAGATGTTAAGGGACACTGAGCTATGGGGGCTATCAGAGCGGCTGACAGGACTGTCAGTTGGGGTTATATCAGAAAGGAAAACCGTGGCTCCTCCGTCCCAGGCCTCCTGGGCTTCCTAGGAGGTGGGAGGAGGGGCCTTCCCTAAGCGCCCAGGGCCCCCAAACCGGACGGCCACCAGAGGCCAGTCACTTCCTAATTGTCTCGATTTGTAAGAGGGTTTTGTAATGCTAAGTAAGCGTGGCGCAGCCAGCCCGGCCTCCCCCTACACCTCCCTCAGCCCGCCTTTGTTTACCTTCGCCTGATCGCTCATTTATTTATCTATCTATTATTTATAGGCGTCCTCTCCTATTCAGCGCCCGTGTATGTTAATTGTGTTATACCATTTAATTCTAACATCGGTCTCAAAAGAGCTCTTAATGAGAAAAGCATATACAACATGGATCACTTTGCTATTCAGCTTAGCCAGATGGACAACTGCTAACTTTTTTTTTTTTTTTTTTTTTTAATAATGAAAATCCCCCTTTGACAAAGGGGCTCGGATGAATAGGCTCCAAATAACACCTCAAACACTTCTAATTGTTTTGAGGACAATATGCTAATCCGCGGATTTCGGCTTTGGTGTCTGTTGACAACGTTTCCCGTGCACTTCGAGCCACCGACTCCTTTGGAAACAGCAGAGGCAAGCGCACAAATCTCTAAACAGCAGCAGAAAGCCGACAAACCTCTAGGCTGTCCCACCTCCCACCCCGTAGCATATCAAAGCCAGTGGGAAAAGCGCGCAAATTAAGGAACGCGTGAGCGCGACTTTGGGGGTAAGACTCCAAGACCGCGGGTGGAAAGCACCCTTCGATTTTGAGAACACATTCCAAAGAGTTTTGCTGGATGACACCGGAGGGTCCTTTCTCCTCAGGAAAGACAATTATCTTCAAGAAAACATTCACCCGGAGGGGAAAGAAAAGGGCTGTTTTACTTGTTTAATATCATGGGCTGCACTGTTATTTGATTTTTTACGATTTTTAAAAACTCCTTGCCCGAGTCGTGACAATGTCGCCTTCCTTTTCCCTTTACTCCGCAGGGTCTCAGTAAAAAGCGTTCGACAGTCTGGGGCGGGGACCTATGGCACATCTTTCTGCATTCCTTAGACTTTTATTTTTT